TTGTACTTCCCATAATTCACGAGAAGCATTGGGTTCTTCTTGTTGGAAAATTGAAGGAGAAGGTCTGGAAAATGTATGATTCATTACCAAATCCTGAACACAAGAATATTTGTCATACAGTTGTAAGTTCAAATTCATATTTCAAGTTATATCCAGATTACTATGTTTATATACATAATATAAATTTTTATAATGTTTTATTCGTACAGATAAAGTATTTGCACGAGGACACCACAAGATGCTTTTCAAGCGATATTACGAAATGGAATGTCCAGGCGGTTCGTGGAATTCCAACACAATCAAACGACTACGATTGCGGAATCTTCGTTTGTAAATATATGGAAAAGGCCGTGCGAAGAAAAAAACCAGACTGGAATGCTCTTAAAGATTGGCAAAAGCATATGCCTAAATTTAGGGCAGAGTTTGCATTTTTTCTTTTTCTACAAACAAAGAAGTAAACAATCTGTAACTTGTTGTAAATATTGTCCATGATTTATAAATGTACATTTTATTTTATTTTTATATACTTTTTGATGTGCATTTTATTATGTTTTTATATAGTTTTTTATTGTTGTATAAAATGTGCATATTCTGTCATATTCTGTAAAGCGCATTCTGTAACTTCTGTATCTTCTATAATTTGCATATTCTGTAGAGCTCAACCGTAGCGCAACCGTAGCGCAACCATAGCGCAACCATAACGCAACCATAGCGCAACTATAGCGCAACCATAGCGCAACCGTAGCGCAACCGTAGCGCAACCGTAGCGCAACCATAGCGCAACAATAGTGCAACAATAGCGCAACCATAGCGCAACTATAGCGCAACCATAGCGCAACATAAGCGCAACCTTACATTTGTAACCAATTATTAATTCTGTACACCAAAATTATTAATTCATACAGAAAGCATGATTTATAAAAAAATTTTATTACAACCAATAAATGAAATCAATAAGTCCAAATAAGTATTATTACATTGCAAATTCATTAAATTCCAACTCCGAAGAAAGAAAATCCATCATCAACTTGGTGTATTCAGCTCCAGGTTGGCATGATGGTATGCCGGTTATATATTCCTCACTGAAACATTCAGGCATGCTTGAAAAGTTCATCTGTGTTGAAGAAGGTTGTGTTGAAGAAGGTTCCTCCAATGGATTATCCCCCACCAAAGGTTTCTTTTCTTATCTGTAAGAAACTAGAGCTTTAGTATTAGGATTAGGAATTAAATAATTAGCAAATTATTAAAAACTTACTTTTAGGCCGTTTCTTCTTCTCCTAATGGCTTTTCAGTCTTACATTTGATATGCCTTTAGGGGTACGCTTTAGAGGATCTTTCAAATTTGCAGTTCCACCTTGGGAACTAGCAACATCCTTCTGATTTCTTTTCTTGCCACCAAGAATTAAGTATAATTTTTTATACATGTCTTGCAATAAGGAAAGAATAAACTCCTCTGCCTCTTCATTCCCTTGAGCTTCCGTGCTCATTTGATATGCAAACCTGCTCACCTGATTTCTGAATATGAATCCCCTGCCACTTTGGAAATTACTACTTCTTTGAGAATTAAGCAAGTAACCTGAATAAAAAATTTGTCGAGCCCTTGCTGACCAACGAAGTAATAAGTACTTCTCAGGGAATTTAGGCATATCCAACTGTTTAAAAACCCTCAAACAATGAGAACACAGCAATCCCATGGTTTCATACTTTTTACAGGTGCATTGAATGTTACCTTCTGTTGCATCAAAGTGAACAACCCAAGGATGGTTTTGATTCTTTTTCTCTATGTAGTTGACTAGAAACTTTGAAGAATCAGTCGAGACAAAATCTATACTCATTTCTCCCACAGCCTTTATAAATTCTTCCTCAAAAATTGAATATATTCTTCTTGAGTAAAATCTAGCAGCTTGTTTTAATATTGAGCTGTTCTTTATCACGGGAACAATTTCAGATTGACTACATTTGTAATCCTCATCTTGCTCATTTCGCCGCCAATTCATCAGTACCTTTTCCAAGCCAAGAAAACAATCAGTTAATGAACTTGTTGGCTTTGAAATGCCATGACACACATTATTAGTACACTCACTACGCTGCGTTGATAAAATGCCCATGCAAAAGGAATCCTTGTTGAAAGCAGTTGACCACTTTCTCCTTATCTTATAAAGATCCTGCAACCATTCATGATTATGAAGATTCCCTTCCTTGATCATTTCATCCCACGCTTCCTCAAACACTTCCTCAGAATCACACCACCTCATACACTTATGGAAGAGTCCTCTAACTTTATTATTGCTATTGTAGATGGAAACTTTTGATGGAACCTTTTTAAATATGTGCCATTGGCATAATCTATGACGAGTGTGAGGTAATGCAGCTTCTATGGCCCTGGCCATAGCTTGGTCCTGATCAGTGAATATTGTTGTTGGATATTTATTACCCATTATTCGTACAAATACTTTAAACAACCATGTAAAACTTTCAATTGTTTCTTCTGACAAAAAAGCAACCCCAAACAAAATATTCTGCCAATGATTGTTAACACCAACAAATGGCGCACAAACAAAATTATACTTGTTCAGCCTGTAACTAGTATCAAAAATTAACACATCTCCAAAACATTCATAATCTATCCTGCTTCTGCCATCAACCCAGAAAAAATTTAACAATCTATCCTGATCATCATATTGAACATCCCATGCAAACATGTGGTCCTCAACTTGTCGATCTTTAAATAATTGAATCAAAGAATTAGTGTCACCAATTTCAATCCTTGCTCTTTTCTCCTTCTGAATCAAATTGTAGGCGTCCCTCTTAGAGAATCCGACATTCTCACATCCACCAACTTCCTCTGCAAGGTAGGCATATGCATCAACGGTTCTAATCCCTGCATTTGTCATCGATTTTAGGACGGAAGCTTTTTCCTCAATAACATTCCTACATGATCTTAAAAGGTGTCGGTCGGCTGGGCTAGCTAATTCATGGTTGTGGGATTCAATAAATCTTTTGACATGCCAGTAACCGTCTTCATCAGTGACAAACGTTCCGATTCCGATTCATGCACCAGCCCTTCCGATTCATGCATCCTTTCCGATTCATGCACTCCCTCTTCCACCTCCCTCTTCACTGAGCAGTCCATTTCTTCTCTGCAATTTTCTGGCTCGTTTTTTCTTCTACAGCAGCACATATTTGCGTCTTTCGCGGGTATCAAAATGAAAAAATAGGGCGGCAAAAGCTTAAAAGTTCAAATGAAAAGCGTTATCAGGTCGGGTCGCTAACTCTGACAAGACATAAATCGTTAATATTAAATTAAAAAAACGACTAACAGATGGCGCATTTCTATTGGCGACCGAACGGAGAGATGGCTTCGGTCACCTGACCCAATAATTTGCCGGGTGGAAGAGGCGGAGGTTTTGCTGGGGTTCGAAGTAGGTAGGGACGTCGGATAGAGAAGAGGTCGGAGGTGGATTTGCTGCTTGGGTTCAGAAGGCAGGGGCCGGCTTCGATTTGGAGTTACGAAGGGTTGAGGAAGACGGAGCTTGGACGTCGAGGCGAGATCGGGAATGGGGCTTCGGCTATGGAGTCGAGCAAGGTAGAGCAAGGTGGGACATGGGAGAAGTCGTGTAAGCTGCTTGCAAGAGAACCCGGACGCGAGAGCTTTGGTTGTCTATTTAATGACTCAATTCAGCACATCTTCGCACATGAGATACGATACTTCGGCGCCATTGCGGGGGGGGGGGGGGGATACATTGCGGGGGGGGGGGGAGGATATGATTTATGTAGCTGCAGCTTGAGCGAGATTTTCCTGCAGAAAATCAGGATGGGCCGTTGGATTTGCAGTAGAGGTAAGATTTAGGCTTTTTTTGTTTATTTTCATCTGACGTGGAGGTCAACACAAACATCAATTATCTTATTATTTTCCTTCTATAATCAATTCTATAATAATGATTAACTCCCTAATATTGATTAACCTTTATAGGTGTTTTACAAATCATTGCCACCATTGCATTGAAATTTGAAACATACACCCCCTGTTGTAGATAAGGTTGGAGAGGAAGGGTTGTTATACTCATTCTCTAGAACTTTGGATATAATATTGAGAGATATAAAAATAGGTATAGGGTTGTTATACTTCACAATCACCCCATGTTAGTTAAAATTTGCTATCATTGGCAATACATTGATGATGTAACTACTGGATCCAAAAGTTTGGCTTTTTGGTGCCCCGACCTTTCCACATGTATTTAAGGAGAGTTTTAACGGATGAAATTCTGAGGGAAATTTTTGGAAAGCAGATTAGATAGAGAAATGATACTACCCATCAATTTCACCCTCACATATCAGGACTTCAAGATATGAAGTCTAGCTTTTTATAGGTGCAAGCTTCTATAGTAAAATTACACTGTGCTTATATCTGGTGTATAGTAGCAACATATTTGGTATTTATATTTGATGTTAGAGATTTACTATATTGTACTTAAAGTGGATGGTGAGGGCAATGATGATGAACCTAATCAAGATTTGATGGTTCCGTCATCTTGAGTCATCATGTTCAAGATGTCATTAAGAGGTTTTGTAAGGCTCTAAATTATCCCAATTTATAGCTTATTTACTTTCAACTACTTAGCACATCATCTCCTTTCTTTTTAATTTCATTCTTTACCATAAATTAACCATCAATCTCCTCATTACCTAATTCGCCTTTAATGCCGATAAGCTATCTCTTTGGTTTCCTGGTCAACCCACTTACATAATTCTCAAGGCCTTGCAAATGTAATGATTTCATTTCACATGTAAAATAAATGATAATGAAGTAATTATCTTCTAAAACATTTCCTAGGTACAAATATCCAAATGAGCTCTAAGAAATTTGATGATCTCGAATGAACTTGCCTTTAGCATAATGCTAATAGCTAAGATGCTATTTCGTTGTTAATTTGTGCAGTTATGTCTTCATATTGTCTTTATTTCTTATTTGGCTTATGGTCATAAAAGTACATTGGCAGGCCGCTGTTGAAGATGCCAATATTCTGGTTAGTGATTACTTTAAGTGGACTTCTAGGCCTTGCTATTAGCTTCACTTCAATGTGGTTTCTTCACCAGACAAGCGCAACTACATACAGGTATTCGAAATGCTTTGAATTCTTAAATGTTGATGTGATAAAATGAGTCCTATTATTCTCAATTATTTATTATTTTTAATCTCAAGGTCAATCTGCATAATTTTTTTTTGTTATTAAGTTTCCTTTTACTCCTTTTTTTGCTTCATCCACTATGCATAACTGATGAGATATTTCTTTGCATTTGTCTTTCTTTGCTCCCATACAATATTCCATCATGTAGCTTATTCTTGATTTTAATCCATTATAGGATGTCTTTTAATAGTATAGTTATTGTCGATCAAAATTTGTGCTGCTTTTGAGTTTTATGTTTTTTTGTTTTCAAATTGGAAAGGCCATTCATGTTCCTAAAACTATCAAGCTAAAAACAGGTCCAATTCATTTCACGTATCACATCAGCATGAGCATATTGAGTTTTTTTCCCAGTCAAGAAATATAATTATGACCACCTTTGGCAACTTGTCCTACCTGCTGTGATACTCAGAATAAGGAATGAGAAGATGCCCCAGAATTTATAGTCAAGGGCTGTAGAAAACCATCACTATTTAATCATGTTTTGGTTGGTAAGGTCGCTGGAAAAATTATCTTCCAGTGCAGCATATACTTAGTGTGCTCAGTTACAAGAGTTGTCATTACCTCTCTAAATTCCCATCACATTAATTTTTTTTTAAAGAAAAGATTCTATCTTATCTTTCATTAGCTGGGCGGAAGGCTAGTACAGATTTAAGGTGGGTACTAGGTCAGTTACAAATATAAGATTTACTTATGACATGTATATATATATATATATTAAATTTATGTTGGATGTAGAAAATTTAATCATAGCTGCATTTTTTCTCCCAACATTAATAATATTTTATAAATTACTTGCTAATTTATAAAATTTTGACTTTAGCCATTATGGCCTGTCTTGCTTGTTTTTTTTTTTTCAAGTTCATATTGTTTTGAGGTAAAAAATAGTAAAGTTTGTAAATAATGTTTTATTCTTCTTCTTCTAAAACTAAATAAATATCATTTATCTACAAGCATTGAGATTGTTTAGAAGGGTAGGAAAAGTTTATTTTGCTTAATGGTTAGAGTAATTGTGTGTTGATTGGATCTGAATCTTAATAAAAATTTATATTGGGATGATGATATCTTTTTATTATAATGTAATGGCGAGTGATGCACTATAATCCACTCTAAAAACGCATAAAAATGCATATTTAGGAAATATAGAATCATTATTTCAAATCAACTAAATAAAAAAATGTCTATGAATTTAGTTTCGAAAAACTAATAATATGCATGCCAGCATTTTATTTAAAAGTGTGCCAAGAAAAGGCAAGAAAATCTACTTTAATCTATACTAAGTTAATTTTTTTTATCTACTTAATCCATTTTGTAATCAATGTTATTTTGTTAAATATTTTTATTATGAATGTACTCCACAAATGGTTTGATTTGAAATGGCATAATATTTCCCTTTTGTTTTTATTTAAAATAATGCTAAGTTAAATGTTGATATGCTCCTTATTTTATTACTGGTTTAGATAAAATTATCTTTCATGCAAATGTACTCGTAATTTGCTAGTTTTTGTTCTGAAATTTGAATGATGTAGCTTATAAAGTTTACTGTTATGGTACTAAAAATATTCTGCATGATTACATGATATGCAGTTTACTGTGGGTAATGTGGGTACTCTTAGATTAGCTAAAGTTCTTAGAATCTATTGTCAAATCGACCTACAAATATTTATGCTTCAGCAGTTAAAATGTGGATAATTTGATGAATTTATGCGACCTGTAATTCAAGCTTTGTTTGGAATAGCTTTTGTACTATTTTTTAAAACGGTTTTCTAGTACAAAAATTTCAAATTCAAGAAATTTTTATAATAAAAAGTTGTTTTAGAAAGCAAGAAGAAAGTCGTCCCAAACGAAGTCTCAATCTTATTAAACGGTTTTACATCTTTTTAATTTATGCAGCCTTGTGGGATCACTGAACAAGATTCCTCTCTCAGTTGCTGGAATACTTATTTTCAAAGTACCAACTAGCTTGGAAAATCTCTTGAGCATTCTTTTTGGTAAGTTCAGCTGTAAATTATCTTATAATTGTAAAATAGTATTAAATATATTATTAATTATGATTTATTTGGGCAGGTCTTTTGGCTGGTGTATTTTTTGCTAAAGCTAAAATGAAAGGATAGGAGACTCCAGGTGATAGAATCATGACTTATTTTTCCTGCTACAGAGAGTTTCATACGGTTAGTTGATAACACCAGCAAGCTTTAAAGGCAAACGCAAGGGCCATTTATTTTCCAATTAATAGTGTGGTCCATGTACACTTATATTCATAGAGCTTGGTAATGCAGATGCTAACACTATCAAACTCTATTTGTATGATTCTATGATTGGATTATGATTGTATCAATAGTGGAAGTTTCTAATTAGATAATTGAGATACTAGTAAATGCCATAGAACCCTCTCTCATTCAGCTTTAGCATATTTGAAAAATAGCTTGTAAAAAAATAATTCAATTAACTTCTAAGGCAACTCTCTAATCTTTAGCTTTCACTTGAGTTATTCTAACATTTCCACGATGCATGTGAGTTTATCTTAATTGACTTAAATATCATTTAAAAAAAAATAAAGTAGAGTCAAAATTACATGTTTATAATGTTACCTTACATTTAATTGACTTCACATCAATGTTATGGCACGCTAAAAATGAGTTTGAAAATCTCAATAAATGTAATTTTTTTTATTTTTAAATCTGAAATTGTGTTTATGATATTTAACTTTTATTATGAAAACTTAAAGTAAAATTTTAATCTCTTATTGATATTTGGAATTAACAGGATATATTCACAACATGTTTTATTTGGAAAAAAAAATAATTTCTTTTTAAAATAATTTTTATTATAAACATTTTAATTTTATTATAAAATATTATTTTAAGAAATAGTGAGAAAGCTATAAAAAAAGTAGCCTTAACTTTCATATGTAAATATTTTGGAGTGTAGATATTAAGAAGGTTTTTTTGGTGTTAAATTCTTAAAATTGTACTTTTTTATTGTTTCTCGTTCAGTTTTGGCAACTATAATATTATACGGATTATTACTATTATTATATAATTATATTTTAAAAGTATTATAGCCATAAATAATTTTTTTTTCTTACTTACTATAATCGAGTTATGTGTTCTTTACCCGGATTACACATGGCTTTTAGTATTTACAATATCAAGTAACCCCGGCCTCATAACCGCTTTGAATAGCTCATCTGTGCGTAATAAACTTTTATTTGGTCCGGTCACCTAACGTAGAGCTCTACGTTCAGACGTCAGTAAATTAGTGCCATGTGTTCTCAATATTTACCACGCAGTCTGACAACTCGACTTGGAACGGAACCGTATGTTTGCGTATTGCTAGGTATTACTCGGTATTGATAGGTATTACTTGGTATTGCTAGGCATTGGTCGATTTTGCTCGGCAAAAACGAGAAATATCATTCTGTGAAAACCAATACCGAGCAATACTGAGAAATACCGAGCAAACTCGGTATTGCTCGGTATTGCTTGGTATTGGTCTTGACAGATTAGTATTTTTCATTATTGCCAAGCAATACCTAGCAATACCAAGCAATACCGAGCAATACCTAAAGCAATTCCGAGCAATATTCGAACATAGCAATCCCGGGTCAGGTCGTCGGGCCGCGCTGTAAAGAGTAAGAGCACGTGGTGACATATTATTGGTGTCCGAACGTAGAGCTACGTCAGGTCACCTGACCTGAATAGACTTAAAACTTCTGAGATGACTTATTTTAGTTTGATTTTTGATCTTATTAGTTTAGTTTGATTGGGAAGCATTTACTGCAAAATGTTTTTAGCAGGATTTAAATCACTTTTTTATTTTGTTAGTTGGGTTCAAATATAAAAGTACTTAGCAAGTATTTAGTTCACAAGAAATAAAAAGTTATTTTTTTTTTCAGAATAATGGATAATGATCTATAAAATAAGTATATGAAGTTATATTTAGAATATGTTTGGGATAGCTGCAGATTTTTATAAAGGTGGCTGGAAAATTGTTATAGAGAATTTTATTTTTAATTATTGTAGAAAATAATTTTCTAGCAAAAAAAAAATTGAATAAGGGTTGCCATTGTGTCAAAGAGAAAGAAAATTGATAGTTTGTGGTTTGTGATAAAAAACACTAGCACATATTTCCTTTTTAGCGGGCAAACAAAGGATTATCCTATGAAAAATATATCACATAAGAGGATTCTTGGAAGTATTTTTACTTCGTTGAGAGGGGCCTTAGCTGCTGGTTGTAGGAAGCTACATTTGATTTAATGAATGTGTTGTATCCAAATTTATCTACACCTACCCAACTTGCAACTATGTTTAGATAGAGCAAGATAGTAGGAGGGAGAACAAGTAAGTATGGAGAGCAGCTAAAATAAAATAATTTTATTAATAGTATAAATATTAAGAAGTCAAAAAAATGTCTTTTAGCTCCATTTTTAAGGGGTTAATAAGGTTATAGGAAAGATTATCTTAAAAAATAGAGAAGTAATAAATGATTTGATAAGTATAAATTGGGACAAACATGTGGACTAGATTGAAAAGTTTACATGTGGCCATCTATCTCTGATGTGACTGTGGATGCACTTGGTGAGTACCTTGGGATGTTGGTGAACCTATAGGAAAAATGTTTAAACATGACGGAATTTCTAGCAGTCAACAGGCTGCCAAAAATAGCAGCAGAAATATCAGCGGATTTGGTGATGAAAATTGGTATGAAGTTCCCCAACGAATTTCTAGCAGAATTTCAATCGGAATTTTTTGGAAACATTTATGTCAAGAATTTTATGGTGAAATTTTTTATGGAACTTCCGCTGGAGAAAGTCCAACTTCAACATTCAGCCCCATCTTCCGTCTAATTATGTGAGTTTTGAGCTGCATGTGATAGCCTCTCTCGTTCTGCTCCCATTCGTCCAGCTGCATGACTCTCCCATTTCGCTCACATTCGCCACTTAGTTCGACGGCAATCCCCTCATTCGTCCAACTTGCTCTCCCGTTGGTAAGTTCTCATTACCCAATTGTTTTGTGATTCTTTTCCATTCTACACAATGGACCACTTTTTTTCTCATCTCTTTAATTATGAATTCATTGATTGAGTTTCTACATCGTCTTATATGTTTTACAAGTGTATATATGTAAGAAATCTTAAAAATTTAATGCATAGAAAAACTAATTCAATTATTTAGACTTTAGATGTGATATTTCTCGTTCTTCATATGTCTAATCATCAAAAGTAATTTTTTTTCTGAGGAATATTTTGATGCACGTTTTACTATCGAACTTTATTTTGCTCGAAATTCACCAAAAATATATTTTTCCTGCAAATTTCACTCATTTTTTTGATGGAATATGGATGGAGAAAAGTAGAATTTTTTTGTAGTGTGAGTTCTTCGAGATGAGTGCTCTAAACAAGTCATCAAAGGAGAGTGCCCTGGAAAATTCCTCTAGTATGAATATCTTAGGCGAGTCCATAATGGTGAATTTTTTGAACAAGTGGTGAGTCCCTCAAGCAAGCGACTAATCATCTAGGTGAGTATTCCATACGAGTGGTTATGAATTGGGGACTAACATAACTAATGAAGTTATGATAGTGTGCCTCCTGTAGCTTTGCAAAAGATATCTATGGAAGATGGATGACCCTAACTTAGGGAGAGCCCTTGAACGAGCCGAGTTTCTTAAATGAAGTGATTTTTCAAATAAAGGCTTATTGTGGTGAGTTCTTTTGTCGAACTCTCTTAGAATATGTGATTCCTTAATTGAGCTTCTTAGGGGTAAATTCATATAATGAGAGCTTCATTGGGACAAATATTTGTCATGTTCAACGTTGCTCCAATAAGAGCTCCTAAAGGCAAGGCTCATTTTTGGAGAGTGCATCTATTGACAAATATCCTCAGGGGTGAGCATGCTTGGTACCTAAGAGTTATTTACACAAACATATATGAACATAAATTTATTTTCTCGATTCTTTTGCTCCTTTGGAGAACGACTTGTTAAAGGGACAAGGAAATGTTGAAAGAAAAGCATCTAATATTCAAATAAAATGATAAAGTAGTATTTTTGTGTTTCTTTGACTATTGTCTATAGAAGAGTTCCTTTGTCCATGATCCTTATAATGTTATTAATTTGAACCATATATTACTTATGTACTGTATGATTTGTTACGATCTAAAAACCCTAGCCGTCAGATTAATTTAAGTAAGATTTTAAATTTTGAATATTTGAATTCTTGCTAAAATTAATCTCATGATTAGTCAGTCAAATCATGATTTAATTAATGATAGTCCATCGTACTATATGATAATAATCATACAAAATGATTCGTAGAGATAAAATTTGGCCATCCCAAAGATCATACCAAACAAAATCATGATTTTTGAACTAATCGTACCGTACGATATTAACATCATACTGGACTGCTCACTTGAAATCAACTAACTATATTATATGATGAGTGTAGTACAGGATGATTAGCGTAGATGATTTTTTGTCATCCCAGGAATCATCCTATATGAACAGAGAAAATTAAATAGATCGTATTGGATGATCTCTGGATCGTACTGCATGATGTGTTCAAATTAATTGAATAGTTTGTTTGAATGATTATCTACATCATACTAGACGAGACTAATTTTGAATAGATAATATTGTACGAACTTGAATTGAACCAATGATAACAATCTTTATTTTTTAGGTTTCTTGAAACCATTACTTAAGTATGCTTTAAAGATTCTCTTTGTAATAGTGAAAGGATTGTGTGACTGCTGATTTATTATGAGAGAGATGCTTTGAGAAATCCAAGGTTTGAGAGGATAGAGAAGGTGAGGTTGAGCATGAAGGAGGAGTGTGAGGGGATCACATGGTTGCTACAGGCTAGCTATACCCTTGCTCTTTTTGTGGCCTTGGTGAGTCTTTAGAAGCTCTATAGGGAGAGAGGCTTCTAGGTTATGCCCTCAAGGTACTCTGCCTTCTCCAAGAAAGGGAAAAGGAGTCAAGGTTCTCTACCTTCTCTAGGAGAGAGAAAAATGAGTTAAGGTCTACTGTCTTCACCAAGGGGGTGACAAGCGTCCGTCACTTTATTGCATCAGGTTTGGTGAAAGTGAATATGTAAGGGCTTCTCCACCTTGTGTTGGAAGAAAAAGGAGAATCACTTTATTTTAGAGTAATTCTCAAAGCAGAGGATGAAAGTGCTCAGATGACACTAGAAAGTGCCCTGATACCACTTGAAAGTTCGTTAGGGATGTTAGGCCCCTTATGAACTGGCCCAAGGCTAATTAAAACGAGTGGTGAATTGGTAAAGAAGAATCTTTAAACAATGCACAAACCAAAACAAATATCACCACATAGAAAACAAATGCGGAAATTAAATGCGGAAGTAATAATAAGAAAGAACACACTAGATTTATAGTGGTTCGGTCAAACCTTGACCTACATCCACTCCTTAGAGGCACTCTCCAAGTATTGCACTAAACTAAGTGTCTCTCCTTTATCCCCC